GCGGAAATAATTTTCTGTTTGGTCCTCTCGGCCCCAGTCCCTGGGCCGCGGGTCGGGCGGGGATGCGGGAGGCGGGAAGAGGGAGCGGGAACGCGCTGCCCTGGCAAGCTCAGAGGTGAGGACTGGGGGCGAGCAGGACTGAGCGCCTACTGTGTGCTTTAGCGCTTTACAGAAGGATTTTCGTTCCGTCTCCCCCGCTGCTCTTGCCAGAAGCAGCTAATGCCTGCCTTTAAGAGGGACAAGCTGAGCCTCTGAGAAGTGAAGTCACCCACTGGCCAAAAACTGCACACCCAGGACCAGCGTGACACCTCCCATCAGCGCTCAGTTACACCACAGAGAGCACGAGGAATCTGAGCCATTTGTTGGCTGTGTCCTGCTCTTGCTTCTCTAAAATTAATTAATTAATTTTTAAAAATGTGGATAGGCGCATAGTAAGTGCGCAGAAAAATACTGGAAACTGAGGAATGAGTTTGACAGCTCAGCCTTGGGAGTACTCGCCGCGAATCCAGCTCAGCCCGAGGGCCCCCGGGCCCCCCGGACCTCCGAAGGGAACCTTGGCGATGGACGGGCGGACGCCCGATTTCGACACAGGCTTTCGGCGAACAAGTGGTGGCGGAGCCCCAGCCCTGGCGGAGGACGGGCTGGGTTCAAACCCCCGCGCTGCCTCTTTCAGGCTGTGTGACACCGGGCAGGTCATTTCATCCGCTGGGACCTGTTACTCCACCCATGAAATGGGGATATTAATTCCCACTCACAAGGGTCGTGGGAAGGAGTAAACGAAACAATGTTCCCAATACACTTACTAAACGCGCAAGTGTCGTCGCGCGTTCATCCCACAAGTTCCCGGCGGCGCCTACGCACCGGGTGCGGACCCGAGACAAAGGCTCCTGGGTCCCCGTCTCCAGGTCGCCCACTCCGGGTCGCAGGGACCGACGGGCCTTCGAGCGACCCTCATCCCGCGAAACCCCGACACTGCGGCCACCTCCACCGGCCGCGGTCGGTCCCGAAAGCAAATATTCAAATATTCCGAACCTGGCGAATGGCTAGGGCTGACATGTTTGCGCTTAATGTTCTCGACGTGTTGTTCTTGTCAGTAAAGGTAATTTCCGGAGACTTCCCGTCTGTGTCGGGTTGAACTTTTCGTCTGAGCGAAGTTCACAGGGCAGACCAAGATGCCCGCGCGTGGCCGTCCTCGCAGCGACCCCAAACTGCAGAC